CTCCTCCTCCTCCTCCTCCTCCTCCTCCTCCTCCTCCTCCTCCTTCTCCTCCGCCTCCTCCTCCTCCTCCTCCTCCTCCTCCTCCTCCTCCTCCTCCTAGCCCCGTGTGGCCCAGAGACAACTTTAGGGGGCGGGCACACTGACATATCGAAAACTCGTTTTTTCGCCAACACATGGTTGCAGATGAACGGCCGCGTGCTGGCGAGGTTTAGCATCATGCTACGCGTCCTCGGGTACAACCCAATGTGGGCATCAGGCGACAGACTGGCGGAGATACTGAGTGAATCTCGAAACTATGACCTCGTTCTTTTGGCAGGCACTCAAGTAGGTGACAGACTATGTGGAGCACAGGTTTTACAGCGTCGGCTTGACGGGCGCATGGTGTTTGAAGTACCTCACTCTCCTGCTCCTTATAGCAATCGTAGTTGTGGGGTACTGATCGCCCTTGGTCCTCGCTATGGTGTCAGGGAAGTGCATCAGGTATGGGGTAGTCCGGAGGGGGGCAGCAGGGAGAGCGATGGCATTGAGGTTAAAGCACAGCACCATGGACGTCTGCGCAATTAGCCTGTATTTCCCCCCAAGCCAGTCAAGAACAACCAGAAACCTTCCTACTTTGGAACAGTTAAGGTGTTGTGTGAATGGCTGGACAGACTACTGAGTACTCTCCCTACACGCTGTGTTCCTGTACTTTATAGTGATATCAACGATGGTCTGGGGGAGGAGTGGAGGGATGGAAGGTGGCAATGTGTTACTACTAACGTCGTGGGGGCCCCGACCCGTGAACGTCTTGTGGGAGGGGCAGGGCATCGGCTTCGCCAGATCCTTGAGAAGCATCACATGATGGCTGCGAATGCGCGCACGCATGTGGAGCACACCTTTTTCGGGGAGAAGGGGACATCCAGTCGCATCGACTACTTGTGTGTCCCCATGGGTATGGCTGGACTCCTGCACGCTTGTAACCCCTTGCGGGGCCTGGGCGCGAAGTGGCAACCAGTGCGCGGTGCAGCGCCGAGGGATCATCTTCCCATCAATCTGAGCCTGATCATGAACAAGGGAGGCCCTGTGCTTCCCCAGGAGGAGAGGACGAGGTGGGACCAGGACAGGATGATGGAGGCGTTACGTACGGGTAAAGGGAGGTGGGCTTTCCTGGAGACGGTGGCGGAGGAGATGAGGAGTATCCAGCCTATTTACCAGAGGGATTGGGCGTCTCCAGATACGATTTTTGAAACTTTGGAACAATGCATTGTTTCTGCTGGAAAAAAAGCATTTCTTGGGAAGGGCACCTGTTCGGGAGGGCTACAGAGAAGACTGCGAACGTCGTCGGGAGTTACTTCGTCGTCGGGTTTCTCTACGAGGCAGTAAGTGCGAGGCCACAGAGTCGGAGGCCCATGAGATTGACCTCGAACTCCGCTCTCTTTCCCACCAGCTACAGCTCGACCGTCGTCGAGCTTTGCGCCGCCATCGAGACCGCTTGATGACAGAGGCGTCTGAGTGTTGGGAGCGTCGGCGTACAGCCGAAGCGATGCGTGCATCGAGGAGGGCGGCCCGTTGTCGTTACGGACCCAAGAAGCGGGACGCTCGACTCGCAGGTTGTACGTTACCTTCTTCAGACGAATGGATGAGAGTCTGGCGAGAACCAGGGGCGCAGGGAGGGATGTTGGTGGAGGAGGTGGACTGGGATCAGTTGCGGGCTTCTCGGGAGGAAGAGTCTTATGCTTATGAGTTGGAGGACCCTGAACTGACGGCACTCGTGAAGGAGGATGTGAAGGCCCTTCGTAGGTACTTCTGTTTTGCCCCCAAACGAAAGCAAGTACCCGAACATACAGCACCAGTAGAATTATGGCACATGTTATTGTTTCCGAAGTGGAGGGTCCAGAATCGAGCACTAGGGTTAGGAGCAGGAGACGAAGCACCCAAAGTTGAGACTTTCTGGTGGATGTTACATGTTGGACTGCGTAAGATCCGTCTTCATCAGTTGGCCCCCCTCTACTGGCACCGCAGTCAAGGAGCGGCACTGGTTAAGAACCACCAGGCTGGACCCCTAGGACGTCGAGTAGTGCATGTGCTGGCTGCAATCGGCAAAGGATGGTTTGCAAAAAGATTACGCCCTTCCCCAACTACCTCGGACCATGGCTTTGTGACTGGCCGCCGGCGTGAAAACGCTGTTATGATATCACTAAATACATCATGGCGCCTCCGTGCCGCACAGAGGACACATGCAGTCTGCTTGAAGGACATGAGCAACGCATTTGGCAGCAGCAGCTTCGAGTCTATGAAAATCTCTGTCGCTCTACATGCGTCTGACCCCGACGTCGACCTATGTGAACAGCGTTTCTTGGATTCGACGATCTTGCTCCCGACGAATACAGGAGGAGTACTAGTTAAACCACGTCAGGGAGGCACAATGGGCGACCCTTTTATAGTATCGATGTTCGTTTCGACCTTTAAGAGACCAGTGATGAATTGGGAATATGACTTGCTTCAGTGGGATCCTACTTATCGTGATCTGAAGGCTAGCTGGGGGGAGTTACAGTCAGACCTCTCCCTCCTCAAGTACGCCGACGACATTAACAAAATTGTGCTAGCTGACTTGGACAGTACCCTTGGAGAATTTCTAGACAAACTTAAGCGTGTGGATGTCTCTCTAAATTCGAAGTTACAACCCTTCGGGTACGGCCAGAATATGTCCAAGCAGGAGTTTCTGTTCCACTTCAGTGCGAGTGCACATTCGTGTAAGCAGTATTTGCATGACCATCCCCAGAGTCTGGAGGGCCGTATGCGAGACGACGCACGTTACCTAGGACCCCGTATCGTACTCAGGGACAGTGCAGCAAGCGAGGTGGGTCGTCGTCTGGCTGCGTCTCGTGCCTCTTTTCACAGTTTGGGGGGAACATGGTCCCTGGACCTGCCGTACCGATGGAAAAGAGTCCTGTTTATTGGATTTGCTCAGAACTCTATCCTGAGCGGCATGGAGTCGTGGGTCCTCAGGGGTCACGACTACGACAGGCTTGATCGAGGACTGGCAGCTCTAGGCCGAATTGCGATGCAGGGAAAGGCCTCGACAGCATCTACGGTGCAGGAGGGTGACCACGTCAGATGTTTAACAACCCAGCAGGTTTTATCTTTCTGGAAGTTGGCCCCTAGTGCTGTCGAGCTCCGAGTTCGGCGCGTTCGGTTATACCAGAGCTGGGCAAAGAAACCCAAGGAGAACGCCCAGAGATTGTGTAGCTTGTTTGGGAGCACTTCGATGGACAATCACCGACCCCAACTTCGATACGGCCAACCTACGAAATTTGCCTCACCCTGGGTATTGCAAGTGAAACGGGATTTGGAGGAGGTGGCAAGGGCGTTGGACAGCGAGGTGGTGGAGGAGGTGGCGAGGGACCTCACTATTCTTAAGGATGAGGAGAGGAGTTCGGATTTCGTGGCGCTTGACGTTACGGAGCTTCGGGCACGCATGTTCACGGTCAGCATCCCTCCCCCTGGGAACTGGAGCTCTGGAGGCGGGTTACAGGAAGAAGAGGAGGAGGAGGTGGAGCGCCCTTATGTTTGTGGTCTTACAACAGATGAGGGAGTATGTACGTCCGCCTTCACGACACGAAGGGAGCTCATGAATCATCTCAGGCGGGTGCACCACCTGCGCAACCAGTGCTATGTCCTCACGCCTACAAATGTCTGCATTAATTGCAAGCAGGTCTTCGGGTGTAAAAGCACAGCGGCACGGCATTTGCAGGGTTCACTGTCCAGGGGCCACTGTGTGACGAGGGGCCCGTCGAACCTGAGAGCCACCCCCGACATCCCGAACACGTTCGCCTGTTTGCTCTGTGATTTT